GAGTCGCCCCTCCTCTTTCATCAGCATCTAGCACCGGAAAATGCTCTCACTCTGACATGGTTCTCAATCATTCACCTCCCTCTTGCATCAGCTATTCTTCAGTATCACGGATGACTGATGTATTAGAAGACTCGAAGAAGTTGAAAGTATTGGCTACGGGCAGTAGCAAGTCGCGGGGGAACACTGGCAAAAAGGCCATGAAGGAGGCCACAAGTACTGCCGCATTGATGAACCTCCAAGGCACTATTAACCGTCTGACTAATTCTCTCACTACAACATTTGCTGTCACAGATGACAGTTGCATCGCAGATGACAGAGCACGTGCCTTGCAGTCAATGCAAGAGCAGGAGGGTTTGTCGCAATCAGATCAACTCATTCTCTTGCATGCGTTTATGGGGAGCCCAGCTGTGTGTGGTACTTACTTGCAAATCATAGAGCCCAGAATGTGTCTGGACTTCTTGCGGTTAATTGTATTACAGGCACAACCTGATATCAAATTGTAGCGCTACCACATTTTCATGTTTTTGTTGTTGTTTTCTACTGAAGTACTCAATGTGCAGCGCACAACTTTCTCGATTGTAGTATCACTATGCAGTTTCATTTTTTGAACTACAATAACATGGACCTATGAATTATTGCCCTTGCCCTCGCCATCGCCCTCATGCCCGAAGTCATCTTCATCATCTGTTTCAAGCTTGTCAATCTCCAGTAAGTGTTCTACGTCTAGTAAGTCTCATTTGCGTATATAAGTCACATAGTCGTCCCACATCTCTGTTGCTTGTTGCTATGCAATCATGGAATGCATGCGCATTCACATCACCATGGTTAGCATGTGTGAGATCGGCTGCGAGATCAGCTGTGTCAGGCTGCCCTTGATGCATAAGGTTGTCATTGATGACAGTGAGCTGCGGCAGACTCCCTTCGTGTGGGTCATGAATTTGAATGTAGTTATGGATGGCACAAAGTGCAGTGGGAATGTGGGATTGTATCTGTATCTTGTACTCCAGGGATAATAAGAGAATGTGAAAGCGTCGCTTTAACACACCAAAGATCTGTTCAATAATGTTTCACATGGAGGCATGACGAAGATTAAATAATTCCTCTTTATTGACTGGTCTGAAATATTACATCAGTTGAGTGCACATTTAAAAAATGAAATCCTACCTGACACTGGCGCACCCCCACTCAGCAAGATGGTACTGAACACCATGATAAGGCACTAAAAGCTCCGGACACAAGGGGAACCCAGCATCTGCAAGAAGGTATTTCCCAGGTGGGATTTTCAAGCCACCAAGGAGAGCTTCATCCCAGAGGCATGCATCTGTGGCCGACCCCTCCCAGCCTGTCAGCGTGAACGTAAAATCAAGGTCAAAACCACATGCAAAAAGGCAATTTTGCGACACAAAGCCTTTGCGGGTTCTGGTAGACATGGTGTGAAGATGCGGGAGGGGATGCGTGTATATGACTCCCGTCAATTGCTCCAATAGCATCCTTGAAATATGGCCAACGCTTTGGATTGTCTCAAATTTGTGTGGAGATGGGGGTATTGGCAGTGGGAAATTGAACATATGTTGTATATGTTAGTTGTGGTGATTGAGCACCTTATGGTGCGAGTTATTTGTGTTATGATGTTGCTTCCTCTATTGGACTCTCACTTAGCATGTGATGTGAATTCCTTACTTACTTAGGCAGTGTTTACACTTATTTACATAGACTCGCCCATAGGTAGCAAGTCCTGTGTTGGTTGCTCTTCAGCAACTGACACTGGACTATAGGTATAGTACACTCATTAGTTTACACAACACAATAGCAACTGACACTGGACTATAGTCCTGTTCACTCTCATTAGCTCACTTGTGGCTTGGTTCACTTGGTTATTCTAACATTATTATCTTACACCATCACAAAATGATAATTGAGATGTGCCGAGCACCATGTCTTGTCTGAACCAGGGGCTGTTATTTGTGGTGATTGAGCACCTTATGGTGCGAGTTTCTTGTGTTACAATGTTGATCACTCTATTGGACTCTCACTTAGCATATGATGTGAATTCCTTACTTCCTTAGGTAGTGTTTACGCTTGTTTACATAGACTCGCCCATAGGTAGCAAGTCCGGTGTTGGTTGCTCCTTAGCAACTGACACTGGACTATAGTCCTGTTCACTCTTATTAGCTCACTTGTGGCTTGGTTCACTCAGTTATTCTAACAGGGGCATCATCTATCACCTCTTGCCAGAATACCAGCAGCACCTCACAGTCGTAATATGCGATGGCAATATAGATTGGTATATGTGTTGATGGGTGTGGCAGCTCCATGAGTGCAGTGAAGGTACACTGATAGATATTGTGATGATGAATAAGTAGGCGTAATGAATTGTATAATTGATTCAGTTCCATAACCTATGTGTTTGTATGTCATTGGACAATCCCAAAGAGCATACCCAGAATCACATACCAATTCCTGGCCAATAGACAGACTCAGGGTATCTCCATCCTTGTTCAATGAGAATTGTTGGCTCAAAACCCTTTCTGTCACATCCATAGGGTGGTGCTCCTTTACAACAAGGACAACAGGTTTCTTGGTGGAGTATTTCGACAAATTCATGATGCAAGAATGGTGGTGGAAGCAACCGTGTGAATTCCGTCACTGGGGGAGTTGAGTGCCAGAGCCATCATTGATCAATCAGGAAAGCAATTCTGCCAGCCCCAGAATGTCATTGGACATGTATTTCTTGATCTTGTTGAGTATTCTATCAACAGTTTGCAATTGATGTCCACCTTAAGCTAAGATAGGCCTTGTCAGTTCATCACATGGTTTGGGGACAGAATACATGATTTGGCTTGTTACTCACTTTCACATTAGAACTTGCTAAATCTGTTGTATGATCCTGTTGGTATGTACTACAAGATAAACCTAACTCCCTCAGCTCATGCAAATTCTATCAATGGAGCACTTCGGCCTCGTCAAGTCAAGCTTTGCATCTACATTCTGTGGTTTGCTAGATATCAAGACAGAGGAATTGGATGACCCTTATCCATTCACCAAGTTGCTTGACGAGCTTTCTAACAATAATCCCAGTCAGATGGAGACCATTTTGCAGTCCACCAAAGATGCCATCCAAGGAGCCGACTATAGACTCAGAGCAGCCATACAATTGCCAATGAGTATCAGGTTACTTTTGCAGAAATTTAATTTTAGCGTGAGACACATTTTTTTACTCAATACCATTGTCATCCACCACCCTGGCCCTTGTTCACCTGGAATATTATTCAAAAACATGCAAAGCTAGTATTGATAACTGCCGCATCTACTGGTGGTATGATACAAGTGAAGAATGATAAGATCAACCATTAGCAAAGGGAAATAAGGTGATGTGATATGAGAAAAATTGTCATGCTGAAATGGCAATGGTAAACTCATGCAGCGGCTAATGATTTAATCCAGGGATATCAGACTCAAGTTCAAGGGCCCTGCAGAATTGATTACAGTCATGGAGGGCTTGAAACAGCTGAATTTGATCTGGGCCCTTATCCCAATAACCCGAGTCTCAACTCTCACTAGTAGACGGTAGTCAGATCTAGTCAAAATGGCCATGACTGGCAAGAAAACATATGTGTGAGCCTGAGGATCAAATAATCTGACACTATGGTCCAGAGCTATGATACCTGCAAGACCAGCACAGCATCAATACGACATGGCTATTCAAACTCCATAATCGAGAGCACACCTTGGATGTCAGATATCAATGTCTCAAAACATGAGTCTACAAGGACATGGTGAAAGTAGGCATCCACCACATGTCCAATCATGTCTTCATTGTTTCCAGGTTGCTCATTGCCGGAAAATTTTACTTAGCAATATAGAGAACCAGTAGAAAGGAGTGGTGTTGCAAGCAACACATCATATAAGAGATTTTGATTGTTGTTCATTCCATCAGTTGGTCCAGGTGGCAACAGATCCACAAGTGCTCCTATAAAGGCCCCTTTGACATTCCATTTCATTGCTACCAGGTATCAAAAGTAAGTTGGTATGTATCACAAGCAAATCAACTTCAAGCATGCTTACCAGGAAGATTTTGTTAGTTGTGGTGATTGAGCACCTTATGGTGCGAGTTATTTGTGTTATGATGTTGCTTCCTCTATTGGACTCTTACTTAGGATGTGATGTGAATTCCTTACTTACTTAGGCAGTGTTTACACTTGTTTACATAGACTCGCCCATAGGTAGCAAGTCCTGTGTTGGTTGCTCTTTAGCAACTGACACTGGACTATAGGTATAGTACACTCATTAGTTTACACAACACAATAGCAACTGACACTGGACTATAGTCCTGTTCACTCTCATTAGCTCACTTGTGGCTTGGTTCACTTGGTTATTCTAACAGATTTTTCACATTGTGGGCACGTGCATGTCTGTAGAACAAGTCCATAAAATACTGGGCTTTGTAAAGAAGACATAGTTCATCAGATAGATCCTTTACATTCGTGTCACTCAATGAACTGATGGGCTTGCTCTGTAAGATTGCATAATCAAGTCCTTTGTACTGTCCCTTGGAATGAATTAAAAAAGGCAGCAGTGACACAGATATTGAACTTACTCAAATGGCAATCTTTGTCAGTCCTTGTCCAAGGTACCCGCTGCCTGGTTGTTTCGCATGAAGTTGTGTCTGCCAGTCCCGAGCAATTTGTACCTCCTCTATATCTTCGCCATGTGTAGGCCCGATTGTCCTGTCATTAGCAATTTGACAGGAAGTTTGCCAGAATTGGAATTTTTCAAAGTGTAACTGGGCAGAAACCTGGGCTGATGGAAGGTGCCAATATTCACACTGATAGAGAGTCCGTTTCGCAGAAGGGCCTGGAGTTGCAGACTCTTTGCCTAAAGACACATCATGTTCAAATACTAACATCACAGATTCTCCAGATTGGAAAGCCAATTTGAGTGAGCTTATCATGGCCATCACCACTCCACTCGTGGTGTGGGCCAAGCACAACCAAGGGCATCTGGGACAGCTTCTTGCTGGTAGGTTCACAAGTCACAAAACCTTCTGGTTCTTGTAACATCATCTGGTCTCTGATGTAGTCACTGTGTCAAGTCCCTTGCAGCTCAGTAAAGATGACGACAATAAAATGCAAGCTACAAACTGTGGGAGCATGACTCCAGTTTGTTTTACAATGAGTTCCTTCACAATGCATGGTCCACGACGACCATAGGGATCGTTCGCAAGCTGGTCTAGCACAAGTTGGCGCTTGGTAACATCTGGCAGTTGGGCTGCTGTCACATGGCTGCCAAATAAGCCCAATTCTCGTCTACGGCGAGCAACTGTTGCTTCACTGATTCGTTGACAATGTTAATGGTTAACTAGTTGAAGGTACCACTAGCAGGCTCACCTCATTTTGATGCTATGTTCAGCTTGCAATAACTTGCTTATGAGTTTCCGGTCTGAAATGTTCCGTTGGTGGTATTCATCAAGAAGGTTCACAACCTTTTGGTCACCCTTGAGGGCTGAGGTCTGACCTAACTGAGTTGCATTTGAACTGCAATGTAGCATGAAAGACTTATGACAATCTTTGTGTTGGTTTTGTCCACTGAGGTTTGGTGGATGGCATGTATAATACCCATCCTCAATTTCATCCGCACTTTCTCTCAGATGCCTTTGTCAGCAGTGACATCAGCTAAAAGTCTGCCTTGCCCATTGTTGACCACCAAATTGGACCGGTACTTCAAGCCCATGAGTTGTTTACTATACCGCAAGACACTCAAGCAACAGCAGCTGTGAATCTCTTCTGGCATGGCTGCCAGGGACTGCCAGTGTTTGCCATCCCATCAACCAATCACCAGGTTCATGTTAGTTGTGGTGATTGAGCACCTCATGGTGCGAGTTATTTGTGTTATGATGTTGCTTCCTCTATTGGACTCTCACTTAGCATGTGATGTGAATTCCTTACTTACTTAGGCAGTGTTTACACTTATTTACATAGACTCGCCCATAGGTAGCAAGTCCTGTGTTGGTTGCTCTTTAGCAACTGACACTGGACTATAGGTATAGTACACTCATTAGTTTACACAACACAATAGCAACTGACACTGGACTATAGTCCTGTTCACTCTCATTAGCTCACTTGTGACTTGGTTCACTTGGTTATTCTAACAGTACTTGGGTAAGGGGCGCAGCGCACGAGCTAAAGCCCTTTGAGTAACCTTTCCCTTGAGCACGATCTTAACAGACACCCGCACTTCACTTAGTTCAAGTGGTCAACAACTCCAGGGATCCCACTGAACATGAGCCTCCTCCAAATGCACCCGACAACAGGAATCCTGCAAACTGTCACCTAATACCCATTGCAAAGCCCCCCAGCATGACTCACTCGCAGCATTTCTTCACCATAGCAATGAGGATCAATGTGTGTGCGATGCAGATCACTGGCGACATGGAGTTTCACCTCTTCATGGCCATGCGAGAGGAGTTCAAGTGGGTGTCTTTCACGATGACACCAAGACAGCAAGCACCTTACACAATGGTCAACAACAGTCACATATCAGAGCCCCAAACAGGAGCGACAGGCAAGAAGCCAGGGATTGAAAGGCTTTGGAAAGTGATAAGAGAATAAATGACCCAGCGTGTGACTGTCAATAATAGTCATATGTGTCATATACCTGATCTGGCCGCTCTGATATTGATATCCACTCCACTTTCCAACCCCCTCTGCTCCATCCATCCTCCACTCCGTCCAATCACAAGTCCGCATTCCGCCCTACGCTTCCACTCGACCGCTCAACCGGTCCCCTTCCATAACCTCTCCATTCAACTGGATCTCTTTCCTCTTTTAGATATATACTTTCCCCTTCGGTACATAGACCCTTACTTCTGGATCACCAGTAATTCCTATTACCGCCTGATCACTGATTCAACGTGTACATATTGATATCCACTCCGACTTATGTCTTCACCTGTGTAAAGCACTTACAAACTATATCCTTGGTACATAGCTTTACAACATAGTTATCCTGGTCACTGCCTCATACATAGAAGTATATAACATATCATGTACTTAGATAATTTCCTCAGTCTTAATATTACTTGTCTTCTCGCAGTTACCTCTTGTGAGAATTCTCAGTAGGACCTTGCCTCCTCTGGACACAAGTCTCAACTTGTTGTCACCTCTGACCCTCCGACCCTCCACTCCGACTTAGAGCCATGCTCTAAGTCTTTCCCTCATACTCCGCCCCTATCAAAATATTCTCCCTTGTCCCTCCACATTGTCCTCCGCCTTCCCCGCCCCTACCAACATTTCCCCCTGCTCCTATCCACACTCTTCATCACTCCCCACCTTCTCCGCTCCGCTCCTAGTCAGCCCACCACTAGTAGCTCTTACTCCCAGACTGTTAAGACCATGCTCGGGGTAAAGCGGAGTCTGGGGGGCTTGGCTTCAGCTCGTATGCTGTGCCCCTTACCTGAGTACGTGCCCCTAATTTCGGGATGTAGTCCAATGTGAGTTCTATGGGTTCCGACAGGACGTCAGAATGGGGATCCTCTGAAGGAGGACCATCAGACTACTAGGTGAATGCGGGAAAGTTGGGCAGGGGTTCCACCCGACAGGAGAGAGGCGGGGGACTACTGGGGTTGGAACCCACAGTAGGAATGGAGCGGGAGGAACTGCTCAGATGAAGTCCGAGGCAGAGCGGAACGGAAGGGGCGGATATGAGGGAGTGCAGGGATCGGATCTGATGCGCGGGAAAGTGCAGCTGATGCACGGGGAGTCGGATGAGCGGAGGAACGGGGGGATGGAGGAACAGTGGAACCCGCAGGATAGCAGAACCCACAGAATAGCGGAACTCGTGGAATAGCGGAACCCACGGAATAGCAGAACCAGCGGAACCAGTGGGACAGAGGAACAGGGAAGCGGGGAAGCGGAGGGTTGGAGGATCAGAGGACAGCCGACCTAGGGAGTCAATCCCCTAGGCCGGGGGACAGGAGTTTTGACTTGGGAAAGACTTTTAAGTCAAAGGACAGAAGAGCAGGGCTTAGAAAAGGTAATATTCAGACTGAGTATCTACAGACAGATGTACATATGTTTATATACTCTAAGTAATTAGCATAGCATAGCAGGAGGCTATGTGCTGAATGTACAGGATAAGAAGATGACTGAGACATACGAGAATAAGGCTCGGAGAAAAGTATGTATGCGACGGATCAATAATCACTAGGGTATAGGGATTACCGGGTACCCGAAAAGCGGAACTATGATACTAAACGGGGATAGGACCAGTTGAGTGGTTCCTAGTCTAGGGGTGGACCGGTGACGCGGTCAGATGGATTAATAGTTGGGTGGGACAACACAAGCAGAACCGAATGGGTCGGAAAAGCAGAGGGAGTAGGAGTAGGGTTGGGCGGACTGATAGGGCGGAGGAGCGGAACCCCCAGATAGGGTCGGATGGAAGGGGTATGGGGTCGGAGGACATAGTGGTAATGTCAGAAAAGCAGAACGGAGTCGGGTGGGAGGTAGCAAGGCTAATCCTGCTGAGATGCACTTTGTGCATTGTCGGGGAAGGAGGAATGAAGCAGATGGGGAAACAGGGGGTTGGACCAGGGGTGGGGATGTTGATGGGTGGTATTGGAGGTGCTTGGATCCAGTATATGACACCGACCCTCAAAGCAGACCAAAGCGGTCCACTTGTCCTACCGTCGGACAACGTCGGACCCACTCCAAATTCGGGGCACATACTCGGCTAAGGGCGCAGTGCAAGAGCTGAAGCCAAGCCCCGACCCCTCTGCTTCCTGAGTTGGCACGGTACCTAACAATATGCCTATGAGGTGTGAAACACAAGAATCATCCATGACGCGATGCCAGAGCAACAGCTTAGAGCCCTGAAAAGGAGCCATGGCAGCGAGAAAGGAATTGAAATGGATGGAAGAGTTAGAACAAAGGAATTAACCCAGCATGTGACTGTCAACGACAGTCATACACCTATGAGGTGCTAAACACGAGAATCATCCAGGACACAATGCCAGAGCAACAGCTCAGAGCCCCAAAAAGGAGTAACGGCAAGGAGACAGATGTAGAAAGACACATAAGTGGAGAGACGAAAAGCAAAAGTTGGAAAAAAACACAATTTCAACCATCACATGATATTCACATGCTCCAAGAACAAACATGACTTACTGTAGCTCAGTCGCCGGCTGCAGTGGTGCACTTAGGACAGTCTGTATGACTGTGTCTATGTGAGTGTAGATAGAATGTGAATATCAGCAGTATGTAATATAGGAAGATCTTATGGAGCATGCATGTATCCATGAGGGAGCAGGTATTTTCCTCCGCTGTTGCTTGCACTTCATGCACGTGGTCTTCATCTTGGTATCTAGCCACCTCCTACCATGGTACTGCTTTCCATCGGCATGAAAGATCATGTCATGAGCAAAGGCACCACAAGATTCATTGGAACATCTAGAGTACACCAATATGTGGGTATCAATGACATGTTCTTGGGTATTGTCGGGAAGAGTCCAAATTTGCACAAACAACAACATGATTGGGGTACTGTTCAGGGCATGCTTATCCTTGCCGAATGATTGTAGTAGTGCCGTCCATGGGTCCATATCATATATGTATACATTTTCAACAAAGCAATCAAGTGCTGGGACAACAAGCAAATCCACAGTGTATGTCATATACCTGATCCAACTGCTGCGTCAATATTAATATCCGCTCCACCTGATGTCCTACTTCCCCCGCTCTCCTACCACCTCCGCTCCATTCACCCTCCACATGGCCCAGTCAGCTTCTGCATCCGCTCCTACGGCTCTGCTCAACCGCCTCGTCGGTTGCCTTCCACATCATCCATTCTACTGTAAATCCTCTTGCCCCATTTAGGTACATACTGTTAGTTGTGGTGATTGAGCACCTTATGGTGCGAGTTATTTGTGTTATGATGTTGCTTCCTCTATTGGACTCTCACTTAGCAT